TGTACGTATGTACAGCGAGTTGTTGAGAGAGGTAGTTTTTAATCCATTAAAATATTTCAATTTACCATTGCGTTCTCAGTTCTCCTACCAAAATAAGAGAAATATATTTCTATTTGTCATAACAGTGATATTATGGCACCCACGCGCGAAGATTTAATACACTGCTTTTTGAAAAGAGTGAGATAGTATTCCGAATCTGAAGCATCACAGACACTTTAAACCCTCAGCCGAGGTGGAGGGGGCCGGGCAGATGTGAGAGTACTGTGTGCCCTACACTCCTCTGGGTAACGGCTGTCACGCGTGGCCCTGTGATATATCACACTCAGCCCAAATCATTGGAGGCGAAGGGGCCTGACCCTGGAAATAACAGAGACAAATTAGGCAGAACGTATCGATTTCCAATGTACCAGATGGCCACCTGACGGGACTGCTTTTATCTATAGAACGCGAAGCCAAAGTACTATATTTTCCAGAGGTAATTTGTAAAAGTCCAACTATTAGATAACATTTTTTAAAAATTCAAAGCAAATGTTACTAATCATTTGGAGTCCAGATACCCCAGCTCATAGGGTCACCTCTAGAACTTAAAGCACACCCAGCCTTCTGATCAGCACGCCTTGGCTCGGGGTGTGTGGGAAAGAAAGACTTTGGGGTGCAGAATCAGAGGTGTCCTCCGGCCTCAAGAGAGTGGACACGTTACTAAATGTTCCACATCTTTTCCATTCTCTCTCCTAATAAAGTTGTTCTTTCAAGTGATACGTCCCAGACTGAAAGCTAGATCTTCTGATTTTTCAAGGGAAATTAGAAATCCATACTTAATATATATTTTTTTTATTTTAAAATGCTGTTTACCAATATATAGATTTTGCAGCACTTCTTGGACCAAGCAAAATACATCCATGAGTTTGGCCTGTGACCTGCTAGATTTTACCTATTTTTTTAAACAGGTGGAGACAGCGGCGGCTGCTGGACCGTGCAGGGGGTGCGTGCGCCCCGAGTCCCGCGGCACCCCCCTCCCCTGTGCACCCCGCCAGCTCCGCCGCGGCTCGGGTGCCCCGGGACCAGCTGTTGAGTTCGCGTGGCCAGTGATTACGACGTACAGTATATGGAGGCGAATTTAAACTAGACCCACTGCGCAGCCCTGGTGAAGGAAGGCGGGGAGGGACGTCCCCCCGGGCGGTGCGGTGGTTAAGGGCGTCTGGGGTGGAGCCGTGGGCGCCATCGGCCCGGTTTCCGCCTGTCCGCTGATGGATGATGGAGTGAGCCGGCAGAGATTTTCAGGGGCTGGCGTGATTCTTTGAATACCAGGCCTGACTTGGCAGATTTTCCAATCCGATGTCAAAATGTCGCCCACCTTTACCCTCTAGTCGTTGCGGTGGGACCCCATCGGTGAGTTCGTTACCAACTGCCCAGAGTGGCAGAGCGAGGCGGACGCCTGCGCCCACTTCTGCTCGGGGGGCCTGCGGCTTTATGGCGGTCGTTCCCACAGCTTCCGCAACCAGCTCAGGCGAGGGACGACTGACAGAGGCCCAGCACCCTCCCGCCATCCAAAGAGACGCCTGCGCGTCGCTCTTCCTGAGAAGTTCTTAGGTGACAGTCTTTAACATAAAGGACAATTTAAAAATGTTTCCGGCAGAGGAAAATACTTCGGCATTTACGTTCAATCTGATGAAACTTCAAATTACTCAATTAACGCTAACATAATCGTAATGATGACAACAGGTGACATTTCACGAGGACCTGATGCAGTGTCACTGAGAACTGTGCGTGTGCTATCTCTGGAGTGAAAGCCGAAGCCTCCTCAGGTTCTTGTTTATAAGCAGGGCTTGTATTTCCTAACTGTGATCTATCATGTATCTTTAAACATTCATGCAATGTCTGCATTTCAGAAATGACTGTGACGCGGACACCCACGTCGTTACTGTTCGGGACCGGAAACAGAACTCCGCCGCGGCCATCGGCCGCCCCGCGACTGAGCACCGCCTCGAGCCTGCACCCCGTTCCCCCTCGCGCCTGGTTTGTCCATCTTTGAACTTCATGGTACTAGAATCACACTCGGGTTTTCGGCTGCATGGTCTCTTTCCTCCACACTGTGTGTGTGACAGAGCCGTGTGACCGCATGAAGCCGAAGTGTTTTCATCCATTGTAAACACTTCCGTCGTTTGATTATGCCGCCGGGATTCCTTACCCATCTGGGTCGTCTCCAGTCTGGGCTCCCGACTGCCGATGCCACGAACGTATCTGAACACACACCTGGGGAGACGAGCGTTTGTCTGGAGCATCAGTGTCTCTCGGGAGACTGACTCGAACACAGATCGCTGGGCCCCTCTCCCAAAGCTTCTGATGGGGCGGATCTGGGGTGGGGCCTGAGGATCTATCTGCATTTCTAACAAGTTCTTGGCTGATGCTCATGGTCTCGGAAACCACACTAGAGCCTCTGATCCAGGGTATATGATAAACACTGAAATCGTAGGTCAGAAAAGTCTCTTCAATCTTATAAAATTACCCCAAAGAGTTTCCCAAGGTGGCTGGACCTCCTGCCACCCTGTTGGGAGGGAACAGTCTCTTCCCTGCTTCCGAGACCGGCCCGTCCACCTTCTCGTTTTGTTAACGTGGCGGTTTTCCGATAGCATCGTCCTTTGATTTTAATTCTTTTGCCTATTCGCAAGGTGGGATCCATTTCGTGTACGTACCGGCCTCTTGGACTGACCTCTGTTCCAGCGCCTGCTCAGTTCCTCCCCAGGTGTCCATCGTGCTGTCTATTCCCGATGCTTCGAAGGACGTCTTCCCTTATTCTGAGGGGCGGACTCTGTCAGCCGCACGTAATGCAGACATCTTCTCCCGCTCTGTGGTTAGTCTTTTTATTCGCTTTATACTATACCTTAACAACTTGAAGTTTTACATTTTGAGGTCATCATTTCACCCGTTTTTTTTCTTTATGACTGGCGCGTTTGCATCGTGTTTAAGAAAACTTTCTGCAGGGGAGGCTACGAGCACCTTCTCCTCCACGATCTTCTAAAGCGTCACGATTTCACCTGAGATTATCTATCAGTGGTCATAGTTTTTTCTTCTCCTTTTTCCTTTTCTCTTTTTCCCTAGATCACTGTTACCCAGGTGCCATGTCTGGACAACTGTGTCCTCCTCGCAGACGCGCGGTACCGGCTCTGCCGGGGGACGACAGACAGTCCGTCCGCGTGCGGATTCGCTCCCGGAGCCCCGGTCTATCGACTGGTCCACACATGCGTCTACTGTGGGTCAGGCACACGTCGCCGTGGGTCAGGGACCGGCCAGCCTCGCTCTGTGAAGGGCTGGAGGGCACGCGTTTTCGGCCTGATGGACTTGAGAGGCCGCGTATAATCTTTGGTTTCTTTTCCACGTAGGAAGTGTGTCAAGGCGTCAAACATTCTTAGTTCGAGGGCTGCACTACGCACTAAACGGTCTCGGCCTCATCTTCACAGGCAGCCACCAGGCCCCAAGCTGGCGAGAGGCTCATTTAAAATGTTTCTGTCTGTATCCGTTGGTCGTTGCTGTCAAAATCATTAACAACGGTGGTTAAAAAAATAAGCATGTGTCTTCTCTCGTGAATGGCCGGGCGGGAGTTCTTCCCATGGGCTAAAAGAGGCGTTTCTGCTGACTTGGGTCGGTCCCTGTCGTGTGTTTGGGTATCAGCTGATGTTCGGTTGTTGTGAGTGGCTTCAGGAGCCCCAGTCTCGGACTCCCCCGCAGGCTAGCCTGAGTGGCCGCACGCGAAGTCTAGAGGCCTGGGCTCAGAACTGGACACTGTCGCCGTCCCTGCATCCTACTGAACAAAGCAAATCAAATCGAGCCCAGCTTAAGGGGTAAGGACATGGACTCTACTCCTTGATGGGAGACTCTGCTAAGTCATACTGCAAAGGATGATGATACGCAGTGGACTGCAATTTATCTACCAAAGAACTTGGTAGATAAACACTTCGATACCGTTTGGTAGATGAATTCCTCGATACTGATTTTTATTTTTATTAAGGCATTGGAGCTGAGTCTTGAAGAACGAATAGTTCGTCGTGCAGAAAAGATGACGGACATCAACTGAGGAGACGGGAAAGGCGTTCCCGAGCCGCCTGACTGCAAAAGCCGTTCTCATTTGCCAAGAATGACAGGCAGTTCCGCAGGGTGGGTGCAGAGTTCAAGGGAGATGAGAGGGATGTTTCGAAGGTGCATTGAGTGAGAAATAGTGAGTTGTCGGATACAGACGAGGGAACAGAGAAAGAACCACAAGCCACGCCAGGTGTTCCCGCCCAGGTGAGTGGTAAAGCTTTCTCGCCTCGTTACCGGGAAGGTCCCCAAGAGAGATGACATGAGTAGAGGAAAAATGAAGCGGCAGGAACCAGAAGTCCATTTTTGAGTCCACCGAGGGTGAGCCTGGCAGGAGGTGTGGGCAAATGGAGGTTTATGAGACAGTCCGCTGCGGGAATGTGTGGCTTTGGCCATTGGAAATGATGTCGCTCTGTAAACAGACTGGAGACGTTTACCAAGGATCCATTCCGGGGAAGGGCAGCGTCATGTCTTGGTGACACATTTCAGTTTATGCTTTCGCTGCACGAGCCTCATATTTTACGTCGCTCTTTGTAACCCGTAATGCCCATGAGAAGATTCTGTGGGGTCAGAGGGAGCCACAGAATCTGAGGGACTCTTCTCAAATTTTCACGTTGCCTACGTGAGAGCTGCCGATCTTGGAAAAAATGCGGATTCACATTCGGTCAGTCTGGGGTGGGCTGCAATTCTGCCTTTTTAATGAGCTCTCAGCTGGTCTATGGGCCACACTCTGAGTAGCAAGTTTATATACAGCATTTTTTGTTCATGATGTTTTAAATTAAGTGGCATTTACTATCGTCTATAACAAGCAGTAGCTGACTAAGCCTGGAGAAACCGCACACATAAAAAACCTCTTTAAAAATCTCTCGTATCTTAATAACATCCAAATTATACATCCCACCATAGGACGAGCGAGGAATAAATGGTCAGCCACGCGATGCCTGCCCCTGCCTGAAGGCGGGAAGTCAAGGTCACGCATTCCCCCAGACAGGCCAGGGTGCGCGTGTCACGCGTGTGTGGTGCCTCTGACCCAACAGCGTCACTAAGTCCCTCCAGGGCTCAGGAACCCGTGGGGTAAGTGGCGGAACGGTCACCAAGGCCGTAAGTGGAGCGGTTTCTGCCGCCGGAGCTCACCCTGCCCGGGCGTCCCTCCCTGGGGTCGGAGGCAGCTTCCCTCCCAGCCGCCCCGAAGGCTCCCGTGGTTCGCTGGCGGCTGGAGGAACAAGCGTCCTGCAGCCCAAACTGCCTCTCCCAGCAGCTCCCCAGGGGCCGCCGTCAGACTGGTGACTATGATCACCGCTCGCCGGCGGCCACTTCCCCACGGAAGGCAGACCGAAGCGACCCGCCCTCTGCCACCGGCGGAGCAACGCCAGGCCAGAAGGAGCATGAGCGCGCGAAGAGGTCAGTCTCGAGGCTGGGGTGTAGGGTGCAGGGCTGGAGGGTGCGGTGGGGGGTGGGGATGCCAGGGGCCGAGAACTGCAGCTGAGTGTGGACAGTCGATGTCACGACAGCCTGAGGGCTGCTGCTTCTATTCTACGTCTTTTTTTTTTTTTTTGCAAGTTGAGGACTATAAAGTCTTTTCCACATTTTTTTTTCATAATCCGAACCAGATTCAAGAACAAAAAAGAACCAATGGCATTGTTTTATAAAAGAATTAACAAAGACCTCGCTTATTTCGTTCCAGAAGTTTTGAAATGATGTATTTATGGCTTCAGTTAACCTATAATCAGTGGAAATTCACCAAATGGAAATATAAACATGTTGTAAATATGAAATATGAGTTCTTAGACCAGCCAAAGCCCGCTTGGGACAGAGACATTAATGGCGACATTTGGAATATGACTGCAAATTAAATAAGAAATGTTTTACATGACATTTAATAACTGCGTTAGGACCATCCATAGTCACTGATTCAAGCTCTATTCATCGAGGGTCCACTGACAGCCCCGTGATAGGCAGGGAGGAGATTGTGGGCATGAAGACAAATGAAGACAGTGTCTGCCTTCATGGAGCTTATGTTTTCATGATGCGAGGCAGACAAGCTAGCGGATAAAATATGTGACATGCTGGTGAGAAGTGCCTTGGAGAAAAGTAAGAGACACGAGTCAAGAAGTGCTGATGGGGAGAGAGTACTCGTTATTTTAACTAAGGTGAATTAGTCCACGGCCATGCCACCCTGAACGCGCCCAGTCTCTTCTGATCTCGAAAGCTAAGCAGGGTCGAGCCTGGTTAGAACTTGGATGGGAGACCACCTAGGAAGTCCAGGTGCTGCAGGCATTTAAAAACTAAAACTAAAAATAAAAAAGGTGAATTATACTTCTGGACAGTTGCCCTGTATACACATTTTAGAATTATTTAAGAAATATGTCAAAGGCAACGTAGGATATAGAAGAGATAATTTCACTGTTTTGGGGTGCGAGAATGGAAAACACCAGAAATTTTCATTCCCTAGAACAATGTTAACGCGCACAGTGACATAAGCTACGCACTGCATGCCGGGGGCGGTGTCCAAGGTGCTGAGGTCTCAGAATTTCCAGGAGAGGCAGCATCCAGCTGCCCCTTGTCAATCAAATAGTGAACTGGCCTAAGTCATGCGGCTCCATCCTCTCCCTGGGGTTGAAGCCTCTGACACCAGAAATTTTCATTCCCTAGAACAATGTTAACGCGCACAGTGACATAAGCTACGCACTGCATGCCGGGGGCGGTGTCCAAGGTGCTGAGGTCTCAGAATTTCCAGGAGAGGCAGCATCCAGCTGCCCCTTGTCAATCAAATAGTGAACTGGCCTAAGTCATGCGGCTCCATCCTCTCCCTGGGGTTGAAGCCTCTGGAAACATCAGCTAAATTTTTTTGTGTAATTTTTTTTTAAAAATTATAAATTTTAAGAAACTATCTCTTAATGAGTAACTTTTTTTATTTTTAAACTTTGGTCACTTTATTTAAAATGTGATAATATATTTTTCTCTAAAAGTTTCTACTTTCTGAAGTTAAATTTAAACTTAAAGTAGAAGGCAGTGTGAGTTCAGTCTAGGTTCAAATGCTGACTGTATCATTTAGCAGATTGGTGACTTTAGAAGATGACTCAATGTAGCTGATATAAAACAAATATTATAATGCATACTTCACATGATGTTGAAGATTTAATAAAATAATGTGTGTAAAGCACCTCTTGCTGCGCCTGGCCTATAACTGCTTTTAAAATGTGTTTTCCCTCCTCTCTATGGTTGACACGAGTCTCCATGGGTCTCTTGTATTTCTGCGTATCATAGGCACAGCCAACGGCAGCCTTTAATTCTGGATGATCTTTTCAAAGAAGTTGGCATAATGCAGCCTTGGAAGTTATAGGCTCTCCTTCCAAGAGCAAAGGGAAAGCATATTTACTGCCTAGTAAAATAAAGATACTACCTGCTTCTGGGGAAAAGGCTGACCAGGTGCTTTTAGCCCTTCATATATTACTGGGGTCTCCTAAGCTGGGAGCTCTCCTCTGCACCTGCTGCATGCAGCCCCCCGACGTGTACACCTCGTCCTTGGCGCATTATCTTGTGGGAAACGGAGCTCGGGAAACTGGTGTGAAAGTGATGATACTCCAGCTACTCCTTATTTTTTCAGTGAACTTCCCTTTGTCTCTGACCCAGGAGTCTCTCGTCTTCCGTCCGCGTGCGTGGACCTGGGAGGCTCACTGCTTAGCGTCCGGGTTAAGCACCACCTCTCCACGGGTTGTCCACCGTTCTGGACCCCTATGCTTCTCAACGCCGTAGGTTCTCTTTGTCATTTACAGCAAAACTCTAGCTTCGTACTTTAATCCACGTCCTTATTTGGTTCTAAAACTTCATTGATATAATGGGAATCACGGAATTTGAGAGTTTCAGCTTTAAAGTTTTTAAATTGAGCCTTCAGTTTTTAAAACGGTGTGTGTCTTGCAGGTGCTGGTGCTGTCCCACCTTTCCGCCCAAGCCATTATGACGACAGAGGTAACGATGAAACGCTACTGACGTCTGTGTAGTACGTTTTCAAGTTGAGTTCTGTATTTTCGAGTTAGTTTTCCTGTTAAAAGTCAAGTTCTTTCACAGTCCATTAGTAACACGAAACAAGTATTTATACTACGACCAAAGTGCCTAATTCAACTCAAAAAAAACATTGACGGTTCTCATTAGGAGAATTTTTTTTTTTTAATGTTACATAATCTCTCAATAGTAGGAAACATAAAAAAAACATACAGCCTGATAGTTTTACTCAGGCTTATAATTCCTACACAAAAATCTTGTTTAGAAAGTCCAGAAAATTGATTTCTTCTCCAGTTTTGTTATTTAGTTTCATTTGAATAGTTTGAGGATAGGTTTAAAATTAAAATAGTTACACGTGGAATAAAAATAAATCTAGAAGAGTAGAATTTAAAATACGCTTCTCTCTCTTTTTAAATGACAAATAGGCGATAGTACTGTTCGCACGGAGAACCGCGGCCACGTTTATTTGGGCACATCTGGGGTGGAATGCTGACTGCAGGAGCGGCAAGGTGAGTGTCCCCGGGGGACCCCACCTGTGGAGAAGGACTGCGGACTGTCCGCTGCTGGGCGGTGTCGGAAAATCAAGAGCGATGTACTTAGTGTTTCAAACACCCAGGTTCTTCAGAGCGAAGAGTCTGCAGTACAATCGCAGGTCGTCGCTGCTTTCACAGACGTCGTGACGACGTGATCTCAAACTGAAGGCAAGTTTAACATAAATGATTTTTTGAAACCTCCAAACATTTAAAATTCAACTCGATTTATTTTTATTAGATGGGATCCTGGCTGGGTTCCACTTGCTGAGTCTTTTTATTCTGAGTTTATTTTTAGGACTAATTACCCTCACCTACACAAACTTCCTGGACTTCAGAATACTTCATTGGCTGGTCGAATGTCTCCGCTATCCAGGTGACAGTTACCTATCACGCATCCTCAAAATTCAGACCAGACGCCGTCTACTCTAGGGTACAGGAGGAACCGAGGCATTAAATTATGGCAGCATTAGCCCACGTGTGTCGCTCGTCACTGCAAGCCAGTGCTCAGCCGGTGGGGTGATGTGTTGTCACTGTGACCCATAACTCTTGGGAGAGCTCCAGGAATGACATAAGAAATTATGCATTAATGTGGAGCAGGTGGCAGGTAGGCACCCAAGTTAGGTCACATGAGCGTGTGCCTTACTCTGGAAGTTGAGTAAGTTATAGACTGACATAATTTGGACATGTAGGCAAATTCTTGGCCAAAGAGAGTATGTGTATAGGCTCTCATTTTTCAGAAGTTAATCTGGAATGCATAAAAAATAAATTTAAAGTGCTCTAAGCAATGAGCTGTCATACAAGATTTGCCTTTTTTTAAAATCACAAATTCAGAGTTCTAGGATAATTTTTGTCTTTTTCTACATAAAGGGCAATTTAGTAATTTTATGCCGTAAAGGAGAGAATAAAGTCTTCAGTACGTGCCTTTTAAAATGACAGGGTATAGCACCAGGAGACACACACAGGCAGGAGATGCTTCTACTCTCCCCAGCTGGAATCGTCTGAATATCAGAGAATCTCACACCCCTTCAGATTTCACAGGCCCGAGGAAACGTGAAATATGTGACATTTTCACCTCAATGTTTTCACACGTGAAAGAGACACCTTTCGAGGGTAAGTAGCAAATATCCTCTTCCTGTTGAAACCCGGCTTCGCGACTCGGAGGGCAAACAAGGAACAACATTGCTGTAGGACCTTCTGAGACGCGAAAACTTGCGGGCGACGAGCTCCAGCTCCACCGGGGGGGTCTGCGCGGGGCCCCAAGTCGGACGCGTGGTTGCTCCGTGCCGAGGACTGAGAGATGAGCCCTTTCGGCCAGTCTGCCACGTACGTGAACGTCAGAAAAGGTGTAAACGCTCTGCGCCGAGAGTTTGACTCTCGGTCTCAGTCCCACGTTTAGTTGTCACTTAAGTTTAATTGGCTAAAATTAGGCCCCTTATTGTCACCGACACGAGGCACGGTCTTCCTTGTGTGAACCTGGACACGAAAGCCAGGGCGGTTTTTGCATCTGTGGATGTGATGTTCGAAAATAAATTCAGGGATCTGTGACCTAGCAGATGGCGAAGGTAGCAAATGGGGTCCCGCGGGCGCAGGGGGACAGGCACGGAGGCTGTGAGCGAGGGCGCGACGCCGCCCAGGGCCTTCGCGGCAGAGAGAGGGGACGGGACACGCCAGACAGCGGGGAGCGAAGGGCGGGCCTTAGGAACCGGTGCGGCCCCACGACGTGACGATTCCTCGTGGCAGCGCCTTCCGCTCCTGCGTGAATCCCAGAGGAAGACAGAAAGAGGGGTCGCGGAGGTGGCCAGGGCGGCCTCGGTCGTGCGCTAGGGGACGAGGTCAGTGCAGAGCGCGGAGGAGACACGTGGAGACGAGGCCATCGTGACGGTCTCTGCAGACAGCCCTGTCCAGAGGCGTCGCTCTGATGGTCACAGAGGACTGTGGCAGTGCTTAGGGGGACGCAGAGCGGGTGGGAGGAGGCTGGGTATTTTTTCTTCTTCTTCTTCTTTTAAATAAGAAGAAGACTCCAGAATACGTCTGCGTACTCATGGGAATGTTGCAGCATTAGAGGGGAAATCGTAATGGAGGAGAAGCCGCGAGGCCTCCGCCGGCATCCTTCTACCTTCTGTAAAACGTAGGGTCTAAAACTGAAGACCACCGAACCATCTCTGGCTTACAAATTCTGCAGTTCTATGATTGTTTATTCTTTTGTGTTTGGGGGGTCATCACCCCACCCTCGATATGACTGGATCGCAGTTAGGACGTTAGCATTTAAACATAACTTTATTCCTAACAGAACGTGAAGTCAATAGATCCTAGAATTCGCTCCGATTCTCTAGTGGCTGCATCTGTCTCAGATCATTAAAATAAGATCCTTCTGCTCAGTGAAAAATCTTGGACTTAGAAAATACACCGGACTTTTCAGAACAGGGGACTCGAGAAACTCCATCCAGAGGGAGCCTGGCTGCGGCGACGACTCGGGCAGGGTCCTTCGGCTGCAGAGGGCGGGGGAGCCGTGAGGCCGCTTAGTCGATGGCGCTCACGGAACGGGCTTCCTTATCGCTCAGCGTACCGTGCACCCCGCTTTTCAGGAAAGCTGCACAGCCCCTGCAGAGGGGGCAAGTCCCCCGACTTCAGGTGAGACGGGCTCGCCTTTCCCCGTCCTCGGCAGGTGGCCCAGCGTAGCGACCCCGCTGCGTCCGCGGCTGGCGTGCGATCTGCAGATTTCTCTCATTCCCTCTCTAGTAGCAAGACGGGGGGACCTCGGCGTGCGCGTCCTCCACCCGGACCAGGGGCTGCCCGCCCCGCGAAGGGGGCAGAGGCGTTTCGTCTGTGCGACCCCCGTCTGCTGTGCCGTGGACGCTGGTCGTCGCAGGGAGTTCCCCAGACCACATGCACCTTCACCCTCAGATTGTGCTTCATGAAAGGGACGAGTGTGGAACAGCGTCATTGAAAATGCCCTCACGTGACCAGTAGGTTGAGTCTGGAGTCTGCCGCTGGTCTGTGGAAGAGATGATGAGGAAAATGTTCCTGTCCTGGGGATTTCGTGTGTTTTCTGCCTCTTAGATCCTTCCCCTTATAATGTGGTCGTGAAAAGCAGATGTTCGGTAAAGCCGAGTCTTGGAAATAGTGACCATAGCACAGTGACTCAGCACCTCAGGGCAGACGCTGTCAGTAGTAGCAAAACCGATCTTTGTTTTCTCTGCCAACTGTAGAATTATAGCCTCCGAACTGACGCAAAATCTGCCCTCTAAATTCAGCCCTCACTCAAGTTCATTTATTATTTAGAGAGACCATGCGATGCCAGTTAAAGTCTTTCATAAATCAACTGCATGGTATTGATGTTGCTGACCATAAAAACACCAAAAGTTAAATTCGCCCTGAATATCACAAAATGAAAACCAAGTTCCCCTTAAAGACCTACCGAGATCACAGCTTGGCCTCGAATGGCGGTGTCCAGGGTCTGGCACTTGGTGACACGCAGGGAAGTCACGCTCACTGCTGCTTTGGTGCAGCTTGACGGAAAACTATGAGCGCCCAGGACAGCAAACACAACCCTCGCTGCAGAGTGACTCTGAACCCCGTTCAAAAAGTGCACGCAATCAAAGTTTCTCACCGACAGGAAACACCCAAAATGTAGCGGGTTTGTTCAAACTATTGTTCTGGTGACATTAATGTGTAGAAACCATCTTTACTTTGAGACATTTGTCTGTGTGAGGTATGAGATTCATTATGTTGCTTTCGTACAGAAGAAATAAATTTGAAACTAATATTTTGTTACGGCAGAGGCTGATATTGATAACTGGTTTCCTGAAGACAAGGTAACGAATCAGTGCTGGGTGTATTAACGAGTTATTCATGTTTTACTTGTTTTCACCATGAAGTAAATAAGGGCCCTTTGGCTGGGGTGTCGCGTGGGATTGTGAGGACAGAGTGCTAATAATAACTTCTGCTGGGGAAACACAGCAGCTGTCTCTACAGTCACCAAAGGAATAAATAAGCAAATTTCCAGCTTATATACAATCCTTCCTCAGTTTGTTAGTTGCTGAAAATTGCGTGGAAAGTTAACTAGAACTGTGTGAGATGTGGCCAGTCCTGAAGAGCAGCACAGTCAGGAGGAACACTGTATCGAACAGCGCCATGCTGAGCTCGCGAGCGCGGTTTGGCAAGGGGCCCTGTGGCGCAGCCCCATCTTTCCCGAGTGACCCAGCCTCCTCTCCTCCCCTCCCTCACTGCCCCCCAACTCCGTCGACCTTCATCTGCGCATGGAGCATCCTGGTTGCGCACTCGTGAATGTATATTTGAGAGCCATTTCTCATCTCTGATTTTAGCAGGATCATGCGACCATTCGCATGGCCACCGTGACGGTGCCTCTTCGCAGAACGTGTTCAGTCCACGGTCCGTGACCTGACTTGACTTATCGACCAACGTGCATTGTTCCGTCGAGCGCCCTGTAGAGCGGTCCCCACCATCCTGCACGGAGCCCCCCACACAGGTTCCACTAACCGGCAGCAGTCCTTTTGGATGCTTACACATGTCACAGGAAAGTGAGGGCCACGTGCAGGCCACATGACAGGCTGGTGTGAGGGGTGAGGGCTGCAGGGCAGGGGTGGGGGGCGAGCAGGAAGCGTCGGTGGGCGCAGAGCGGTGGGGTCCAGCTTCACGGAATGGCCAGTCTCCGCCTCTGTCAGGATGTTGGCCTTTTGACAATCTGATTAGGGCTGCGATTAATTCTCTAGATAACGGCGCATATGCACATGACCATTCTGTGGACGCCACTTCTAACAGGCGTTAGGGCTCCCGAAATCTCAAGTTCAAACTCTCTCAGTGGGACCAACAGGCCAGGGGGTTCAGAGCAGAAAAAAGATGGGGATCATTTTATCAACCTGGTGGGCCTCTCCCAGCGAAGAAAGATGAGAGCCGTGCGGGGAGACAGAAAGGGCCCGCGTCCATGCAGAGTCAGCAGGGCTGA